TACTAGTAATATAAAAATGTATTTTGTTTAATATTTTTAATAGAACTCGATTTATTTAAAAGAATTTGAACTGGAGAAGGTTTGGCTCAGGAATATTATGATCTGCACAGGATACTTAAGGAAGGCTACCAAGAAGTGTGATTGAAATAATATTCAATAGCCAAGCCTTTATCATTGTAGGGGTTGTACATTTACATCCAGAATTCCACAGAAATCTTCTGGAGGACAGAATCCAAGTGATGGGGGATATATTTTTTGTGGACTGATGTGAACAAGTCATCATGACGAATAAAGCAAGCTAACACTGTGTTGCAGAGCATAGGGAGCTCTCTCTCTTGAATGACAACATTAACTATGGCATCAACTAAAGGCCCAGGTATACTTCATTTCTATTTTCACTTGCACATGCGGTGTTGTACGCGCACCGACCGCGCGGTCACAAATTGGCTGCGTGCAGATAGGGTGTGCGGAAGTCTGCGGACCCTCCTGGTGACGAAAATTACATCACGCAGACGGTGCGTGGACTGGACACGGATGGCAGAAAAATACTTTGGGCTTAAGTGTCGCACTTCATAAAGTTGCTGTAGTCCAAGTAGACCACCAACTAGTGCAAATCGAGTGAATTATCCATTTTTCCACTACTTGATGGGAACAATTTAGTTCTTTCTGTAGTGGATTTCTTAAAGGGGTCATATAATGGTACATGCACTTTTACAAGTTGATTGTACTGAAATGTGTGTTGGCAGTGCCTGTACACAAACATCATAAAATGATAAAAATCCATCCAGTGTTTTTGTTTTAATCTCCTTATATGTTTTCCCCTGCCTCAAATCGAGCCGTTCGAGCCTGTGACGTCACAAGCTCGCACGCCCCTCCCACGATTGTTGAATGACAGCCGCGTTTCAACACAGACCCGCCCTCGCTCGTGAGGGAGCTGTCAATCATAGTCTGCGCGGACAGGCGCAGTCATTGTTGATATGCTGGAGCACTGTCTATGAGCAGAATGGCGTCTAAGCGATTGTGGTGTTCTGTTCTTGGGTGCAATAACGAACACAGCAGTCATTTTAATGTTCCTAAATCCGAACCGCTGAAGACGCAGTGGCTGAGTTTGTTTTCGAAGGGAATATTCCCCACAAGCAACGTCAATGCTTTCATATTTGCGCGAATCATTTCACACACCAGACTGCTTATAAACGAGGAGGGTCAGTATAAAGCTGGTTTTGCTAAGAAGCTGCTCCTGGACCGGTACCAACTATTCGTGTTCCTGCTGAACCTCTCCAAAATAACTGAAGTGAGTGTAACGTTTTTTTAACCTTTAATATTTATATTAATCTTTGCAAATCGCTAGATGCACGCTTCACAATGAATGCGTCTAAGGTTTACACTCAGGGTACATTACGGCATGTTTTCTATGTACGACGTTCTCAATATAATTCATAATCCCACGTCTATAATGAACAACGCGTTATGGTTATTGTGTTACAAGCGGTGTACGCACAGAACAGAGAGGTGGGGTGAGCAAAGCTCATTATCATTTAAAGTCATATGCACTGAAACGGCGTGCTGAAAACAGAGCTGTTTTTGACCAGGTAAAATAAGTGTTTTCTTACAATACTAATGAGAATTTTTAATTAAAGTATATTACAAAGTTTTAATTTAGACTCTAAAGAACCATATTAGCTTGTACAAAAATGGCATTATATGACCCCTTTAAAATACACAAAATAGAAAAAAAAAAAAAAAAAAGTAGAAAAATATGTACAAAAAAGTTAAATAAAATTCATGTGAAGGGTCCCTCCACAAGTTGGTACTTCTCAGTCTTAAGGTACTGATATGTCCCTAGAGATTTTACCCAAAGTGACGAACAGTACACTTAATTAAATGCCTTGCAGAAGGGCACAATGGTGGTTATTCAGGGCTTGGTCTTGTGCGAAACTTCTCTTTTACCAGCTCAGATCTTTAACCACTATACTAAATCCATCTGAATGCAATGTTTTTAGTCATAAAACTGCTATACAAATTCCATTGCTTAAAGATTTGCTTTCGTACATATACCTGTCCTGTAGCAGCATTTCCCATACGGTAAATACCGTTATAACCATTAAAAAATTTCCAAGGATTGATAGAATAATTTGTCGGATATACTGTCCGGTATAATATATGTACATGTTCGCAATTGGGTAGGGATGAGTCACAACAGACAGCTGACTAAATAACTAAATTAACAAATTATATTTAAAATAATAATAATAATAATAAAAACAACAATAACAATTTCATTTAAGGTTAATAGTCAACTGTCACTGTGCCAGTGTGTCCCATCCCTACCCATTAACAATACTAGTAAAAAATGCTGGGTTGTTTCAACCCATGTTTGGGTCAAATATGGACAAACCCAACCACAGGTTTTAAAAATTAAAAAAAAATTAAACCAATGGTTGGGTTTGTCCATATTTGACCCAAACATGGGTTGAAACAACCAGACATTTTTTAGAGCGTAGATTGAACATTTATATGCTCTCAAATAACAAATGCATCTGGAGGGGAAATATGAAAGGTCTGAACTGCACTACTTTGCTAGGCACTGACATCACGAGATGCCGTATTTTCCAACCTCCCGAAACAATCAGCAGGAGATTCCACATTCTCACATGCCTAGCCGAAACACTGCTTTGATGTGAGAATCCACAATGTGCTTCTGTTTCAGTGTAATACTTTAATATTTAATAGGCTGAGTCTATAGAGTCCTTGCGCTGGGTGACTGCTCTTCAAACGCTGGGACTTTATGAAAGTGCTTCGAATAAGCGGGTCCCCCTCATCTCCTCCTCAGTCTCATTATTTTCCAGCCTTTCATTTCTCCTCCCTCTTTTCCTCCCTCTGACAGGCAAACCCATTTGAGGCCGCCTCTACATTCTACACCATAGCGAGCTTGTTTCTGCCTGTGCGGAGGCCTAGGAATGGACACACACACGTCTCAGTTTCAGCGCTCTATATTCAGGACCTCCCAAGAGCCAACACGTCCCGTTCTGCTGTTCATATAGACGGCCAGCAGCGAGCACAAAGCTTTCAAAACGGCTCCACACACCCCAAAATATGTTTTGTTTAGTTCTGAACAGTCAGCACACACAGGATGAGATGCAGTTACCCACGGGCCCAAACACTCTTCTGTTCTGTGTGTGTGTGCGTGCGCTGTGTCTCTCTCTCACACATTTGTCAAAAACAGGAAACAGTAAGGGTTGTTGGCCTGGTTTCTTTTCTGCCACTAAGCAAAAGTTTTTTTTTTTTTATGGGACAAAATCCTCTCAGAAATACAGACTACATTCCCTTAGTTTCATTCGGCCATAACTCAGTCTCTTGCTCGCACCAACACAGCCACATCGGTCTTTTTCCACTCCCTTCATTTCGACAGCCATCCATTTCTAAGCCACTGTTCCCCTCTCTCCGTGTCCCACAGCTGGAGGTGAAATCATTAGTGCCCCCGCTCCCCCTTTCCATGCTTTCCTCTTCCTCTCTCTCTCTCTCACATCATCCCTTCTTTCTCTCCCGTCGCCCGCTCGCATTCCTCCCCCTCCCCCTTTCCCTCCCTCACAGGGCCGGGTCCGCCCCCAGAGGCCGTTGTGGCCAATCACAGAGCTTCAGTCAGCTAGCCCTCCTCCTCCCTTTGACTGTAAACACCGTGGAGTAAAACTGGGCAGGAACTGCCTTTTGTTTTTTGCACCATCTACCCTCCCTCTCGCGCTTGATTTTAAAAGGCCAGCAATGACAGAACAACATTTCCCAACATGTACCAGAACAGTTCTTTGAATGAATGATTCAAATAGTTTCTGAGGATGAAAAACCAGCAACAGTCTTGGTACAAAATAAGCCACATACAGTGTCCCCAAAAAGTATTTGGACACTTACAGCTGAAGAGTGTAATCGAAAATATTTTCTCTCATAATCACTTTAAATGCAGAGACTATTAGCAATCCAAGTTGATTTCCTCAAAAAGTGGTTCTGTGCCATCAAAACAATGTTCTGTTTTTTTGATTGTTGTTCATTGTTCATATTCATTCATAACATATCAATTATTTTTAGTACACTACTTTTCAACAGTTTGGGGTCAGTGAGATATTTAAATGTCTCACAAAACTGCATTACAGCACAAATATTCTATTTTAAAATATTCTAAAACGCAATTTACTCCTGTGATGGACAGGATACATTTCATTACTCCAGTCTTCAGTGTCACATGACCCTTCAGAATCATTCTAATATGCTGATTCGGTGTTATAGAAACATTTCTTATTAATGCTGAAAACAAATGTGCTGCTTAATATTTTTTTTTTTCAAGATTCTTTGTTTACCAGAACAGCATTTACAACCTTTTGTAACTTGTATTATTAACTGCCACTTTTGACCAATTTAATACATTCATGCTGGATAAAAGTAATAATTTAAGAAAAAAAAAAATCTTACTGACCCCAAACTTTTGAACGTTATATGTAGAAATGAATGCAATCCAATAACTGACATCAAGTATATTTAATAAAACAATTCTAAACCAACATTTCATTCATTTTTTTATGAAATATTATTGGCAAACATTTAAATGCACATTGTCATATTAACAGTTACCAGTAAGGAACTATGCCGATTTAAAATCTCATGAGCCTAAAGTACAACACAACAAAATAAGCTAGGAGTATATGTTTGAATCACTAAAAAGAACTGACTCACAAGAGTCACTAGGGTCAAGAATGCCTTTGTCTCTGCACATTAGTCAGGGTAGGAGAAAGTATTTTAACATTGAAGAAATAGCTTATATAATCAAATGTTTTACCAGATAAAACCACATACTGACAAACACAAAAATTGGAGCTAAATTGTAATTGGGCATTTCATTTGTAGCACCTTGAGTAGTACTGCTAAATTCTCTTGCAAAAGTCAATGTTAAACATGAAGAATTTGGCTGATTGTTAGTCCACGTTAGTAACCGGCTATAAGTAGTGATGTCTTACCTTGTCAGTGGCGTCTGCACACGCATGCTCTGAATGATAGTGGTATACTCCTCCCATTGCACCTAGAGACAGCACAAGAACAGTTAACTCAACAGCCAAGTGTATTGAAGCAGCTAAAACACTATAACCATGTGATGCAGCATAATTATTTACAGCTTGTATGATATGTTTGGCAGTCAACAGTTTCAACAGGCCCAAAAACAGACTCTTGATCCAGCAGCTTTACAGGATATCAGCAGCATGTTGAGACATCTGGGCAATACTTTAATCTTGCCTGGTGTGTTATTACAATAAACGGAATCACAATCACCATCATATAATCACAGTCACACAACCCAAATGATCTCTATACTGTTTAATGCTGCAGCAGTATAAGCTCCTGTAATACAATTGTTGTTTGTAAAGGATAAACCATATTTACTAGGGCCAGTCTTTGCTAATTAAACGATAAAGGTGCTCTAGAGGTGATGATGATCCATTGATGATGACGATATGTTATTGTTTGACAGAGAGACAGAGACAGAGACAGAGACAGAGACAGAGACAGAGACAGAGACAGAGACAGAGACAGAGACAGAGACAGAGACAGAGACAGAGACAGAGACAGAGACAGAGACAGAGACAGAGAGAGAGAGAGAGAGAGAGAGAGAGAGAGAGAGAGAGAGAGAGAGAGAGAGAGAGAGAGAGAGATTAATCCTAGATTATAGTATGGTGCTTGCATGACAATACATCCAAAGCCTTTTGTTTTCTTAGGGTCTTTGTTTTTGAGTTTCAAATTTTTATTTTTTTTGCCCGTCTGTGTTTGTTTGCGTGTTTCCAGTGTCTCTGTGAACGTTTCATCAGACGAGCACAGGATTACCCTTGAACAATCCATAAAGTAAAAAAACCTCTCTCCAAGGACAAGGACGCTTGTGTGTATGAGCGAGGAGTGTGTGAAGTGCCCACAAAAAAGCTTTTTATTTGAACTCGTGCTTCTATTTTTTTTCTGTCACCATAAGTTTTTTTTTGTCTATTTTCTCTCAATGACAGAGTGAGTGAGTGAAGCAAGGAGTGACTGACGACACTGAGATAACAGGGAGAGAGAGGGAGCGAGAGAGATGAGGAGGATGTTGACACAATATCATGCACTACCAACAACTAGACCATCTCAAACAACCAATTAATCCATCCAAAGTGAGACTGTCTAGTTTATCAGGAGTTAAAATTTGGAATATTTTTAGCAGTGGTGCATTAAAAGGAATGAATTAACTACTAAAAGTGTTTTAGCGTCCTGACAGCATGATGTACACTTTAGTGTGATAAAAGTCTCAAAGCAACTGGAGGCAAGCTTAAAAGTTCTCTAAAATCCATCCCCATTAAAACATGGTAATCATGCCTGCTTATTTGTAAGATTCACCATCTAAATAATTCAATAAACAATAAGCTAATAATAAATATTAAAAAAAACAATACATTGATTGTTTACATAGCATCTTTCCCAAGGTCACATTTCTACGGAGCCTCTAAACTGGGACATGTGATTGGCAAATTACAATGGGAGGAAAAAAATTATATTGTTTTTGCTTTCGCCCGTGAAAACTTTTGTACCCTTGAGAAACTTTGTCATCTCTCATAAAGAACTCAAAAGGTTTGCGGGCAAAATTAAAGTTTCTCGGAGGAACGCAAAACATTTGCAAAAGAACGCAAAAGCATTGACATAATTTTTCCTTCCATCTCATTTTCTTCCAATACCATGTCCCTTTAGGGCTTCATACATTACTGATTAATAATAGTAATAATAAAAAAAAAGAATCAACAATTTAACACACATCAAGAAAATCTGAAAACATTCTTAAACAAGTAGGAAAGTAGGTGTGTTTTGAAATAATGCAAAGGAGGATATAACATATATCTGGTTGCCATTGCCATAATCTAACTTGGTGTATATAAAAGAAAAAGAAAAAGAAAAAAAAACGCACTCGGATGAGGAGTGAGACTCATATTTAGCCTCAGTGTGAACATGGCCTGTGTGTGCCTGAATGTTACTAATTAAACCATCATTAGTCGAGTCGCATCAACTAGAGATGTCTGCACTAAAAGGTAGCCTACATTTTCATGCTGACAGAATCATGTTTCGAGTGACATAATAAAATATCTGACAGACTAGCAAATTTCTTGCGGAGTAATGATGATTTCAGTTTCTCAATATTTAAAGCCCTCTGTAGTCATGCCAGCCGTTGCCATGAGCAACTAAATATCTATTAAAAAAAAGTATAAATATGTTTATTTCAATGCAAAGCAATAAACTGTGCGGCATTTACAAAGTTTGTAGCACAGCTTCTCACTGCTCCAGCTCGTTTAATTTTTTTTTACAATTTTTGTAAATAATTTATCTATCATATAAACATCTAATGATTTTATTTTCTTTGTAAACACATAGCAGGTCGCTAAATAAAACTGGACAGATAAAGAGCGTTTCAGTCAGAATCATTCAGAACTGGCTTCTGAAGTCTGACTGCGCTGTTTGTGTGTAACATTGGTAACATGGTTGTTCTGTTCAACTGTAGCTACATTGACGCATTTTCAGTCCACAGTAACAGGACAAACTCATCGATGACATGTTGTGAAGGATACAAGGGGTACATGATGTACGAGGCACCAAATGACTAGTACACCCACTTTTGCGATGATAATGAAGGGAAAGGCAAGAAGGGGGAAGGAGGGAAAGAGGAAGAGAAAGAGGCCCACAGAGGGAAAGAACAAGAATACAATTTGAATTGAACTGCAAGCAAGACACTCTGCAGAAGACAGAGGGACACAGACTGGGACAATTATTAATTTTTAAAAGGACATCTATCGTCTTTATTTTGATGGTCTCAGTTTGGATTGTGCCGTCACAGTCATCTGCGAGGCTCAGATGATCATGCAGTTCAACTTAATCAGCAGATGGCCAGTAACTTGATGCAATTGCAACATGGTTTATTTATTTGTCAAAGCCAATTTTTACCTGCATCTGGTACGCACAGATCGTTCAGTCTGGACCTCATTTCGAGAGGAGATCCTGGTGTCATTGTGGGGGAAGGGGCACACAAGAGGTGTCCTGAGTAATGTTATGGGAAGGAAAGAGATCCAGGGAAAATGAAGAGGGAGGGAGAGAAAGATACAGGGGATTGAGGCTTCCCCCTCTTGACTACTATCGATTTTTCTCTGAGCTCCAGAGTGCATCAGCTTTATCTGTCCATTCCTGCTCCTCCTTTCCCTCCTGAGCCCATCTATCCATCGTTGGCTTCTACTGTCACACGATTCCTTGCTCCTCTCTCACCCCCTAAACACTACAAAAACAGGCATATCTCCACCTCTACATTATGGAGCAGTGACATTACTCTCCACAAAACATTGACATTCATGAAGTTCCTCTGCTGAAGCACTTTGCATAAGAAATGTAAAAAGGGGTACAAACAGACCAAGGAAAATAAAAGCGAGAGAGAGAGAGAGTGACAGCACTAATGTTGCCTTATTAGTTCTAATTTCTGCGATCAATTAAAAAATTGTTACATTGCACTGGTGTAAATAACATTGTTATTTTAGTAATATGTATATATTATAGTTTAGTTCTTTTTTTAAATATTATATGACTTTTTAGGTTTAATTAATTTTTTTAGTTTAGTTTTAGTTTATTCATTTAAAAACCCTCAAGGTGTTAAAAACCTGTATGAAGTTCTTTCTTCTGCTGAACACAAAATAAGATATTTTGAAGAATTTGGGTAACAAAACAGTTGACTTCCATAGTATGGAGAGAAAAAAAATACCATGGAAGTGAATGTTTTATATCCTTTTATTTAAGCTTTATTTCAAGAAACAGAAATGGTTTAATGTTCTTTAATTATTTTTAATTAAGATTGAATTATTTGAAATGATGAGGTTTAATTATTATTATTTAATTATTCTTCTCATTATTATTGTTGTATTATTATTGGGAGCAAAGGGACAGATGGAGAGCTACAGTTTGTCTTTTAAAACCCAACAGCCAAAAGAAAAAAAGGAGGAAGGAAGGTCAGAGTTGGAAAAGTTGAGCCAACAGAGAGAGAGGAAGTAAAAGGAGTTTAAATGAGCGAGTTCAAGAGTGTGACAGAACATGAGCGAGAGAGAGAAAGATTTGGCTAATGTTTCTCAGCTTGGTTCAGCTTTCCCTCTCACCCCTCTCAGTTCTCCAACACACAAAGAAAGGGACGCCAGAAAGACGCACACATCCACTCCCTCTCTTTCTCTTACTCTCTCATAACATGTAGTACCGTATACCTCTCTCAACAAATCTTCCACAGCCCACTCAAACAAGCTTTGCTTTGGTCTGTCTTTTCCCAGTCTTTCTCTTCTTCAGACATGCATAGAGATGGCTCAAGCTTGCCCGACAGTGACAAAACTGGCATTATAAGCCCCAATCTGTTCCCCTGCACCGAGCCTCTCGGTTAACCTGGGAAAAGATAGCATCTAGAAAATTTAACTCTTTGGCCGGCTCAAATCCCATTTACAGTAATAGGCTCTACAGAGTGAAGCTGAGCCTGGGCTGGGACTAAAGTGGAGTCTTGGTGAAGACTGACGTCAGATGTGAGATTTACACACAGACAAGAGGTCAATGCGGTTTGAGGAAAGCCACACTTATGCTTTGGTCTCCAACAAACACAAAGACCCGAGCACAAGATGGAGCTCCTATGAAAGACAGACACTGGAATGGTGTCCCACAATGCCGTTTGTTCCCGAGTGGATTCTGCTTTGATGAACACTGGGCAAGTCGAACATGGAGTCAAGTCCTGATTTGGACCCATTCAGTAATGACACTGTGATTGACCATACAGACTATTAACACAGAAACTATGCAAAGAAAAGTAAATTGGGTGCACATATACATGTTATACAAATATATATATATATATATATGAAGAGTTTGGTTCCAAAACGCAATAAATCCATTTATATTAATTTGAGTAAAAATGTGTTTTCTTTACCAAGAAAGTGGAAAGATGAAAACCACTATTTTCTGTTTCAAACTTTCACATAGCATTTGTAGGTCGTAATAACAAAAAAA